AGGAATCTCACCATTCAAACTGTTCCAGTAGAAGGAATTTGCATGGTATTGTTTCTGCCTCAAGTTCCTTTAATGGAGTTACTGCAGCGAGGCAGCGCCCTGCTGGAAGACTGTCTCCCGAAAGCTGAGGGAGCAGGTCGGGGCCATCCCAGTTACTTCGGTCGGAGGGAATCCTGTCACACCTGCCCAGCACAGGCCGCACCCCCAGCCCACATTGCTGTCCTGGCTCTGGTCAGCTGCTTTGCCTTGCCTGGGCAGTCTTAGCAGAACTATTCAAGGTTTGGTTCCTTCAAACACCCGCTCCTCCTCATGGGGGTGGAGGTGGGGCAAATAGAGCTGCTAATCTCTACACAGAGCTGCTAATCTCACAGAGCTGCTAATCTACACAGGGGCTGGCTGAGCATCGGCAGTTCTCGTGATGGGCCGGCACAGGTCGGGGCAGCCTGGCGCTGCAGCGGGCAGCTGAAACGAGGAAGCCTCTGAAGGCTGTGTGTCCAAGGAGGCAGCGCACACGCCTTCGATCTGGACGCACCCTCTGCACTCCACAGAGAGCTGTCATGTCCACGTATGGGGAATAAACACGTATCCCAAAGTATGTGCACACACACGCAGATAGAAACATGTATGTGAAGATGTGTGTGCATACTTATGTATTCAAATAATTATTCTTTTTGTTGGATTACCTGGTGAAAACAAAGTATAACTTATGGACATTTTATATCCATTTAATCTACACTTCTATCATAGGAAATCCCTAAAGACATTTGTCAAAATATATTCAAAAATCTGCTAATGAACAATATGTTGACATTGGGATGAGGGAATTTAATCATGTGAAATTAACCACCCCCATGGATATTTTGAAAATAGAATTCTTCGTGTGAAAGACCAATCTATGATAGGTCAACTTTATACTAAAGATGTACTGATTAATTATGAGCTCAGGGTCGTCTGAGATATTCAGCACCTGCGTAAATCCCTGTTATCCTTGTTGTTCAAATTTGCTGCTGTTCAAACACACAGAAATTGTAAAAGAACTTGAGTTCTGTAATAAGAAAAGCTATCAGCTGAGTCTGGCTATATAGCCCCCACTTTCAGAAAATAGTTCAGGACGTGCTTCTAATTAACACAAAGAGAAAACTAGTCTCTGCCCCACTTACCCCATACAATCAACAGAAAGATCAAACACAGCACTTCACATAACTGTGCGCACAGCAAATGCACAGAGTTATTTTGGTTTATGTGCAACTGCGATGCTTAAGGATCTTTGGAGTTAAAAGAAATAATTCACAAGTCTTAAATAATGTTCCTTCCATAATCTATGAGCTCCTGTGGTAATAATTTGATAATTTGTGCAAATTTGTTTTATCCAAAACAAAACCTCTCAATAAACTCCTCATTTCACTTTATAATCGAGGCGGCATCATGGCAGGGATTGGATCATGATGGCGGACGCCCGGCTGCCCCCTGTGGGGCCTGGCGGCCCTCACTTAGGGTCTGGGGGGTGTTGGCCTCCCTGCTCACAGCCCAGGCCCTGTGCTCCTGCTTTTCCTACTTTCCATAGTGCCCCTGTGTGCTGGGAATGAGGCCGGATGGCAGCAGCTGGGGCCTGCAGCTGGCTCCAGGGTCGACAGAGGCCTGGGACCCACCTCAAGACCGCACCAGACAGGGAGACCGGTGCGGAGTACATGGGCCCCGCTCTGTGCCCACGAGCTGGCGTGTGCTGACTGACTTGATGTCCCTTCAACAGGGAGCCAGGTGGAATGCACTCCATGATGAAAACAGGCGGGCCTTCGAAGTCTTACTGCAGTGAATGAACACACCTGGGACTATGCACGTGAACCCTGGCTGCGTGATCCACAGAGCACGGCCGGTCTTTGATCTAGACTCTTCCTGGAGATTCCCGACTCTGGCCGGCAAGGAAGTACCTGAGTGTGACCCACTTGGGCTGTAAGCGGGAGACAGCCACGTGGGCCCGTGGGCTCCTGTGACTGGCTTCACAGCCCCCAGGATCAGGCACTCACAGAAATGTATTCCCAGGAGAAAGTCACAGGCCTAGGTCACAAGAGCCACCACTGCTAACTCTGGATGTCCCCAGACTCTCAGGGAGGCCATCCAAAAGGGGTCAGGCCTGCGCTTTCTACCCAAGAAATCTAGCCATGTGGATGTCTTTGCAGACAGTCCAGCCTCACAGCAGCTCACATTTGAATTCTACTTGAGTCTCCTAGGTGGTCCCCATAAGGTCTCCTGATGTGACTGAGAGGTGGCAGATGCTAACCAAGGACTCTGAACCAGCATCCTGTGGTCAGCTTGGAGCCCTGTGGTCAGTCTCGGAGCCCTGTGGTCAGCTTGGAGCCCTGTGGTCAGCTCGGAGCCCTGTGGTCAGCTTGGAGTCCTGTGGTCAGCTCGGAGCCCTGTGGTCAGTCTCGGAGCCCTGTGGTCAGCTTGGAGCCCTGTGGTCAGCTTGGAGCCCTGTGGTCAGCTCAGGGCACTCCGGTTAGCTTGGAGCCCTGTGGTCAACTTGGAGCCCTGTGGTCAGCTTGGAGCCCTGTGGTCAGTCTCGGGGCCCTGTGGTTAGCTTGGAGCCCTGTGGTCAGCTCAGGGCACTCTGGTTAACTCGGAGCCCTGTGGTCAGTTTGGAGCACTCTGGTCAGCTTGGAGCCCTGTGGTCAGCTCAGAGCCCTGTGGTCAGTCTCGGAGCCCTGTGGTCAGCTTGGAGCCCTGTGGTCAGTCTTGGAGCCCTGTGGTCAGCTTGGAGCCCTGTGGTCAGTCTCGGAGCCCTGTGGTCAGCTCGGAGCCCTGTGGTCAGTCTCGGAGCCCTGTGGTCAGCTTGGAGCCCTGTGGTCAGTCTTGGGGCCCTGTGGTCAGCTCGGAGCCCTGTGGTCAGCTCAGGGCATTCCGGTTAGCTCGGAGCCCTGTGGTCAGCATGGAGAACTGCAGCCGATCTGTGTGCGTCTTTGTGTGCACACAGTCAGCACACACCCGGTGCCCAGTGCAGTGCCCGGCAGGGTCAGGGCTCAGGCGCCCTCAGACACCGCAGCTGCTCATCTGATGCTCCTCTCACGCATCCATAAGCTGTGAGCACATATGGAGTTAGTCCAGCAGCAATGCTACCTGCCTCACTAAGCCATCGTCCTCTCAGCCATCAGATCCTCAGTTTAGAACAAACTGGCATTGTACTGACACATTCTAAAATGCCCTCAGTGGCTTAAAGAAAGGGCAGCACCTTGCATAGTTAAAGGTAAACTACTTAAGGTCTGACCCTAAAGAAACTAAAACCAGAAGTAGTTTCTATGAAAAGCAAAGCCCAAACTTGAAGACTCCTAGTTCAATCCAGCACACACAAAAATACTTCATAATTCCAAGCGTTAATGTCTATCACCTCCCACACGAGCTGAGGATGTAAAACAATGTGATTTTACGCCGTCTGAGCAGTGATCCCAGGCAAGATGTAAATGGCCCGTCGGTCTCGACAATTAATGTCACCCAGCCACCGCAGCCACCGCACGGCGATACCATGTCCAGAAACAGTTTGTGTGAACTGGCCCCCTTTCTGGCCCTCCACGTGTCTCCTGACTCAGACAGGTGCGCTACTTCTCAGCCTCGCGTCAATGAGATGGCACGTCTGTCCAGGCCTGGCTGGGCAGAGCCAGCACTGATTGTTGGCCATGCTCAATTGTACCTCATTAGGCTTTTGCTTGTCATGCTCTCTAACATAAAGCAGAACTGTCGGGAGAATAAACACTAACTTATTCAATATATGTGTATGCAGAGATACAGAAACATATATGCATGCAAATATAAGCAGCAAATTGTTCTCATAAGAATCTGTGTGTGTGTGTGTGTACCAGTGGTTTGCCTTGAACTTAGGTCCTAGGTGCTGTCCCTTGGCTTTTGCTCAATGTTAGTGCTCTACCATATGAACTCCAGCTCCATACCTTGGTGGTTAAATGGAGATGAGAGTCACATGGATTTTCCTGCCTTGGCTGGCTTTGGCCTACTATCCTCAGATCTCAGCCTTCTGAGTAGCTTCGATTGCAAGTATGAGCCACTGATGTCTGTGAAGATCTTAACCAACTCTGACCATCCAGGAGTGTGGCCTGGCTTCTAAAAGCACACACTCAGACTGCACACAGAAGTGTCAACGCATGTGTGGTGGGAAGCCGTCCCTTCGTTGGTGGAGGTGATGGCATCCCAGGACTGACTCTTGAGTGCAAGGAAGAAGGGTAAGAAGGAAAACCTCCTTCCACACTTCCATCATTTTGTGGCATTTCTCTGAGTGAGCTCTACACTGATAAAGACTCACTTCTTTCTAGAAAAAGTAACCTTTAGAACATCATCGTTTTGAGTCCTGTATGAACAGAAGACGACATACAAAATGAGGCAGCTGTTTGGGAAATGCCCTGCTCTCCAAAGAGACTTCTCTGATTGTGTGTCTCACAAGTGCCAGGCCAGAAACACGGATCTCAAAGCCCAAGGCCCTGGGCCTTCCCGTCCACCATGTTGCAGTTCGTCTTGATCACATGACAGTCTTTCATCTAGATCACATGACAGTCACCGCAGCAGAGCTTCGGCGACTGATGGACAGAACCCCCTTCCCCAGCACGCGCCCACTCACCCCACAGCTGCGTGCCAGCCACACCCACAACACTACAGGGCCTGGGCCAGGGAGGCTACCCCTTGGAGAGGACGCTCAGACAAACCCAGAAGTCCACAAATGCTACACTAGTCCTCTGGCTAAAGTTTGCTTCTCTAATCAAATATGTGTACCATAAATATCTCAGAAAATTGCTATGACAACCCATCTGAATAACAATTTGAGACAAAATCTAAAGTTGAGCAGATCATTTAAAGAAATTCTTTAAGACAAAGGCTAAGCCTGCATAAACAGCTGATGTTTTCAGTATTGAGCAAGTAGACCCAGCGTACCATGGAAAAATAGCCCCAGAAAACTCACATGGAACTCAGACTGGACACTTGACTAGTATTTTAAAGATTACCATTTTCTTCTTCTTCCTCTTCCTCTTCCTCCTCCTCCTCTTCCTCCTCCTCCTCCTCTTCCTCCTCCACATCATCTCCGTCTTCATCATCGTCATCATCATCTTCCTCATCGATCTCCTCCTCCTCCTCCTCCTCCTCCTCGTCCTCCTCTCTGTCCACCTCCTCCTCCTCGTCATCTTCATCCCCTTGCTCATCATCGTTGTCCTCCGAGAACTCCTCCTCCTCCTCCTCCTCCTCCTCCTCCTCCTCCTCCTTCTCGTCCATGTCTTCAGAGACGTCGCTCTCATAGCATTCGTCCACTGAGGAGCTGTCTGCCTTCACCGTGAGCGGCTTGCGCTTGGGAGCCGGCTCCTGGGGCTGCTTATCTTGGCTTTTCCTTTTCTTGGCTAAGGGACAGCCATACACGCTGAAGAAACATAGATAACAAAAGAGAGAAAGAAATCTGTGTTACTGTTTTTGGCAGTCAGAGCAACAGGGGGACTGGATGGGCACTGTTGAGGCTGAGCGCCAGCGGGGTCACGTGACCACTTGGGGACCGGCCTGTGTGCCTGTCCTTACACACCAGTGCCTGCTGGCCAGGAGCTTGCCTCACCACCATTCACGTTTATGCCAAGTCCTCGCCGTCCTCCGTGCTCCAGGTACAAACGGCATGGAGATCCTGATAAAATCCCTGAGGGCGCGTGAGAGCCAACTGCACAGCATGCACCTCATACAAGCGACAAGGCAAGTTCAGCTCCCGCCGTTTACCTGACATAACCGTGCACGACGCTCATCACACGTGATGTGAAATATGAAATGCATACCCCACAATAGATTTGGATCTGTGTATTTTCTAGATAAACATATAGCTTTAGGCATGATCACCTTTAAGGAGGTAAGTCAGAGATGGGTATTAGTTTTTTTTTCTCCCCCCCAGGCCTGGGGCTTGAACTCTGGGCCGGGGCGCTGTCCCTGAGCTTCTTTTGCTCAAGGCGAGTGCTCTACCACTTGAGCCACAGCACCACTTCTGGATTTTCTGAATAGTTTATTGGAGATAAGAGTCTCACGGACTTTCCTGCCTGGGCTGGCTTTGAACCGTGATCCTCAGATCTCAGCCTCCTGAGTGGCTGGGATGACAGGCGCGCACCACGGCTGCTTAGCCCAGCTAAGGTTGGTGTTGTTGAGGAGAGCAATCACCCAAGTTCAGGCTGGGCAGACGCCTGCCGTGGCCGCTGCGAGTCTCGATTCCAGCACTGCAGAGTGACCTCACTGTTATTGGCAGTCAGCGCTAACTCAGGCCCAAATTGGCCCGGATTGGGTAAACCCTTCACTGTGCGAGGCCACAGTCTTTCCCGGAGAAAGGGCAATTTTCTGAACAGTGTTTCCAGTTTGGCTTTTTTCCTGACGTTCTTTCTGGAAATCTTACCCTTGCAGGCCAGACGTCCCGACGGAGGGGCTGTGGTGGGAGACGCTGCTGGTCCGGCACGAGCCGGTGCCCGCGGCCGCGTTGGTCCTGTGGGACTCCTGCAGGCCGGGGCTGGTTTTGGACCTAGGGATGGTGAGACTGGTCTGGGGCTGGACAGTCTTGGTGGGGTCCTGTGCCATGCAGGAGGGGCAGAGATGAGTCCCAGAGCCTATCGGGGACTTGGGGACAGCAGTGACCTCCATTTTGAGCCAAACTGTGGTGCACCCTGGTTCCTCCAGCACCGCGTGTTGGGGTGTTACAACAGGATGTGCCACACGGAGGACGGGGGAAAGCCCTCGGACGACATGCCTGACGGGCGTCTGTCACTGCCCGGTAGAGCAAGGGCAGGCGGCATGGCGACGGAGGTCCTCCAGGAAGAGGGAAGCTGGCGTGAACGCCTCGGGGTACACCGGAAACATCCGGCAGGGAGAGACACACGGCAGTGCATGCCAAGCAAGACTGCATGTGCAAAGTGTGTGCGGAACTAAGCATGTCAGCTGCACGCCTGTAATCCTAGCTACTCAGGAGCATGAGACCTTTCAAAACAACCATCAAAGAGCCAGGCTGGAGGTGTGGCTCAAGTGGTAGAACACCAGCCAAGCAAGCCAGCTGGACATCTCTCAGGCCTTCAGTTCAAACCCCAGTATGACCAAAGAAAAAAAGGAAAGGAAAGAAAAAGATGCAATAGATTCAGACAACACAAGCAGGAAGTGACACCTCTGGAGCGGACGGTGATGGAGGAAAGGAGCAGCGTGAGCAGGCGGCATCACGCGGGCCGTGGACGGCCGTGGCCCCACAGGAAGCATGGCGCACTCGAGCTCTCCCGAGTCGTGTCGGGAGGATCCGGAGAGACACCGGGCGGCACAGGGCAGCCAGGCCGTCCGTTTGAGGACCGGGCTGGGGGAGGGTCTGGAGGGCAACTCTGCAGTCAGACACACCTCGGAGGGGACACCGAGGCCCAAGGGAGCCTCTGCTTCCCCGGGGGCGAGCGGCTGCATGGGAGGACGCAGGAGGCAGGCACTGGGGACGGGCGGAAGTGTGCTCGCTCACGGCAGGGCTTATCATTGAGTGACTGTGGACGGGTGGTCGGGGAATACTGATGCAGGAATACGGGGATGCAGGAAACCCAGCCCGACGCTTGTGCTGCGTCCCGGTCTAGTGGGTGCGCTGCCGCTGGCCTTCAGTCCTGGAGGGGGCTGACAGCGTGATGCTGGGGGTCAGAGCGAGGCTCACGGGGAGAGGCCAGTTACCACATGAAGCAGCGGCGGTCAGGAAAGGCAGAGCTGTCTACTGTGTAAAAGCCACGTCCCTTGGACTTACAAAAGCAGAACCACAGCGACGGGTGACGGGAGAACTGCAGGCTGCTGCTGCCCCGGGCGCCAGGCGCGAACCCTCTGCGCTTCCCCCGTGGGCTTCCTCACAGGCTGGTGGGGCTGCAGTCCGCCTCTCCGAGGCAGCGGCCCCCACATGCTCTGGCCACACTTGAGGCCTTCCAACCAGCCCGCCACACCAGCGGCTCCTGCGCGGCGTCCCCTCCCGGAGGGACGTGCTGAATGTGCTGCCAGGCTTCAGCCAATACCCAAGACACCGCGGCTGAAAGCAGCACGCCGCCCCTCCCCGCCGCCCCCTCCCCGCCGCCCCCCTCCCTGCCGGCCCCTCCCCGCCACCCCCTCCCTGCCCCCTCCCTGCCGCCCCCCTCCCCGCCACCCCCTCCCCGCCCCCTCCCCGCCGCCCCTCCCCGTCCCTCCCCGCCGCCCCTCCCCGCCGCCCCTCCCCGCCGCCCCTCCCCGCCGCCCCCTCCCGCCCCCTCCCCGCCGCCCCAGGCTTGTGGGCCGCGCCACCACCGCGTCCTCACCACCTCACTACTGTGTCCTCACCCCGCGTCCTCACCCCGCGTCCTCGGCACCCTTCCTCTCCCGCTTGCGTGTGTCTTGAAGGAGGCACCTGCAGACACACCAGGCCCATCTCCCGGGTGCTGGCTCGATGCCTCCAGCTGGCACCCTGACAGGGCCTCCGTGGGCAGCGGGAAGACACCTCAGGGCATCTCATGTCTCAGGGAGCCCCAAGCTTGAGCTGCATAGCAACATTGCCAGCGTGGGAAGGGGCTCTGGCAGGGCCTCAGTCAGCCCGGGAGGCTGCGGGAGGACACACGGGTGCACGGAGCTGCGGGGGTGTGCGGAGGCACTGGGGCCCCACAGAGCTGCGGGGGTGTGCGGAGGCCCTGGGCCCCCACAGAGCTGCAGGGGTGTGCAGAGGCCCTGGGGCCCCACAGAGCTGCAGGGGTGTGTGGAGGCCCTGGGGCCCAGGACGCACGGAGCTGCGGGGGTGTGCGGAGGCCCTGGGGCCCCACAGAGCTGCGGGGGTGTGCGGAGGCCCTGGGCCCCCACAGAGCTGCAGGGGTGTGCAGAGGCCCTGGGGCCCCACAGAGCTGCAGGGGTGTGTGGAGGCCCTGGGGCCCAGGACGCACGGAGCTGCGGGGGTGTGCGGAGGCCCTGGGGCCCCACAGAGCTGCAGGGGTGTGCGGAGGCGCTGGGGCCCAGGACGCACGGAGCTGCGGGGGTGTGCAGAGGCACTGGGCCCACGGGGCGCACAGAGCTGCGGGGGTGTGTGGAGGTGCTGGGGCCCAGGACGCACGGAGCTGCGGGGGTGTGCGGAGGCGCTGGGGCCCAGGACGCACGGAGCTGCGGGGGTGTGCGGAGGCCCTGGGGCCCAGGACGCACGGAGCTGCGGGGGTGTGCGGAGGCCCTGGGGCCCCACAGAGCTGCAGGGGTGTGCGGAGGCGCTGGGGCCCAGGACGCACGGAGCTGCGGGGGTGTGCAGAGGCACTGGGCCCACGGGGCGCACAGAGCTGCGGGGGTGTGTGGAGGCGCTGGGGCCCAGGACGCACGGAGCTGCGGGGGTGTGCAGAGGTGCTGGGGCCGCAGGGAGCTGTGGGGGTGTGCGGAGGCGCTGGGGCCCAGGATGCATGGGTGTGCGGAGGCGCTGGGGCCCCATGGAGCTGTGGGGGTGTGCGGAGGCCCTGGGGCCGCAGGGCACACGGAGCTGCAGTGGTGTGCGGAGGCGCTGGGGCCCAGGGCGCACGGAGCTGCGGGGGTGTGCAGAGGTGCTGGGGCCATATGATGCATGGAACTGCAGAGGCGCTGGGGCTGCATGATGCACGGAGCTGCGGGGGTATGCGGAGGCACTGGGGCCCAGGGCACACGGAGCTGCATGTCTGTCATGCAGAGTCTTCGGAACAGCTTGTCTGCGGCCCAAGCAATGCAGGAAGGCCAAGTCCACATGCCGGGAAGGAAACGGAGGTTCCTCTCCAGGTTCCCGTTCCATCTTTTCCCTTTGAGGAACAGGAGGAGAGGGGCTGGAAGAGAGCCAGGGGAGCAGAAACATAGCCAATCAAGACGGAGCCTGAGTGTGGAGGCCAGCCAGGGAGGGCCCGGACCAGCGCCGGCTCTGTTCCTGCCACACAAGCACTGTGCTCTCCGCGTGGGCAGCAAGTCACCGGCCACCCGGACGCGGAAGGCAGCGTCACAGCGTGACTGTCCTGCCTGGAGCCGGGAGCTGGCCGCCAGGGTTCTCAAGTTGAAGCCCAGGCTGGGATCTGCTGGCGTCTGTCAGGTGCAAGGTAGCACTCTTCACGGTCCTGAGGGTCAAATCGCCAGGGTGTCCTTCACGTCCGCCTCATTGTTGGAACCTCTTGGTAACACCTCAAGGCTCTTCCAAACGATGTCTGCTTTTACCTGGGCTGCTCGACAGATCTGGCGCACCTCTCGTAACCACACGGGTTCAATTTGCAGCCATCGGAACTCCAGCCTTGTACGTACAGTGATTCCGGTCGTGTTATAGGATTTCTGTTCGGGACTTGCTCGGTATCCATTACTGTCAAGTGTAAGTAAAGTGCGCTTCAGCTATATACAATTCTCCCTTTGTTCCCGTCTGCCCATTGTTGCGGACCGCCAACCATCACG